ACGCGCGTCGAGGAGGAGGAGGAGCGTGTGTTGGCCCTGGGCGGTGAGAAGAAAAAGCTGGAGCTGCACATCCAGGACCTCGAGGAGCAGCTGGAGGAGGAAGAGGCCGCGCGCCAGAAGCTTCAGCTAGAGAAGGTCCAGTTGGACGGGAAGATCAAGAAGCACGAGGAGGATCTCGCCCTCACCGACGACCAGAACCAAAAGCTGCTCAAGGAGAAGAAGCTGCTCGAAGAGCGGGCTAACGATCTCTCCCAGACGCTCGCCGAGGAGGAGGAGAAGGCCAAGCACCTGGCGAAACTGAAGGCCAAGCACGAGGCCACCATCGCCGAGCTCGAGGAGCGCATGCACAAGGATCAGCAGCAGCGCCAGGAGACGGACCGCACCAAGCGAAAGGTCGAAACCGAGGTGGCGGACCTTAGGGAGCAGCTGAACGAGCGACGCACCCAAGTGGAGGAGATGCAGGCGCAGCTGTTGAAGCGCGAGGAGGAGCTCACCCAGACCCTGATGCGCATTGACGAGGAGTCCGCCACCAAGGCCACCGCCCAGAAGGCCCAACGTGAACTCGAATCGCAGCTCGCCGAGATCCAGGAGGATCTCGAGGCCGAGAAGGCGGCCCGTGCCAAGGCCGAGAAGGTGCGACGCGACCTCAGCGAGGAGCTCGAAGCACTCAAGAACGAGCTTCTCGACTCCCTGGACACCACGGCCGCCCAACAAGAGCTGCGCTCCAAGCGCGAACAGGAGCTGGCCACGCTAAAGAAGTCGCTGGAGGAAGAGGGTGTGAACCACGAGGGCGTCCTGGCCGACATGCGGCACAAGCACTCGCAGGAGCTGAACGGCATCAACGATCAGTTGGAGAACCTGCGCAAGGCCAAGTCCGTGCTGGAGAAGGCCAAGGGTACGCTGGAGGCGGAGAACGCCGATCTGGCCACCGAATTGCGCAGCGTCAACAGCTCCCGGCAGGAGAACGATCGACGACGCAAGCAGGCCGAATCCCAAATCGCAGAGCTTCAGGTGAGTGACGAAAGCAGAAGGCGGCCGAACGATCTCTATTCTAATTCTGTTTGCAGGTGAAATTGGCCGAGATCGAACGCGCACGATCGGAATTGCAGGAGAAGTGCACAAAGCTGCAGCAGGAGGCGGAGAATATCACCAATCAGCTGGAGGAGGCCGAGCTGAAGGCATCGGCAGCCGTCAAGTCGGCCAGCAACATGGAGTCGCAGCTGACGGAAGCGCAGCAGCAGCTGGAGGAGGAGACACGCCAGAAACTGGGCCTCAGCTCCAAGCTGCGCCAGATCGAGTCCGAGAAGGAGGCGCTGCAGGAGCAGCTCGAGGAGGATGAGGAGGCCAAGCGTAACTTTGAGCGCAAGCTGGCCGAGGTCACCGGCCAGATGCAGGAGATCAAGAAGAAGGCTGAGGAGGATGCCGACCTGGCCAAGGAGCTGGAGGAGGGCAAGAAGCGGCTCAACAAGGAGATCGAGGTGTTGGAGCGACAGGTGAAGGAGCTGATTGCCCAGAACGATCGCCTGGACAAGAGCAAAAAGAAGATCCAATCGGAGCTGGAGGATGCCACCATCGAGCTGGAGACGCAACGCACGAAGGTAGGTCCCTGGCCCTCGTCAGAGTTCCTTGAAGGACTCCCTTTGTTAATCCCCAATCCCAATCCCTCATAGGTGCTCGAGTTGGAGAAGAAGCAGAAGAACTTCGACAAGACCCTCGCCGAGGAGAAAGCCATATCAGAGCAGATCGCCCAGGAGCGCGATACTGCCGAGCGGGAGGCGCGCGAGAAGGAGACCAAGGTGCTGTCGGTGTCCCGCGAGCTGGACGAGGCCTTCGACAAGATCGAAGATCTCGAGAACAAGCGCAAGACACTCCAGAACGAGCTAGACGACCTGGCCAACTCCCAAGGCACCGCCGACAAGAACGTCCACGAGCTTGAGAAGGCCAAGCGCGCCCTGGAGTCGCAGCTTGCCGAGCTGAAAGCACAAAACGAGGAGCTCGAGGACGACCTCCAGCTGACGGAGGATGCCAAGCTGCGTCTCGAGGTCAATATGCAGGCCCTGCGCTCCCAGTTCGAGCGCGACCTGCTGGCCAAGGAGGAGGGGGCAGAGGAGAAGCGGCGAGGACTGGTCAAGCAATTGCGCGATCTGGAAGCGGAGCTCGATGAGGAGCGCAAGCAGCGAACGGCCGCCGTGGCATCGAAGAAGAAGCTGGAGGGCGACCTCAAGGAGATCGAGACCACGATGGAGATGCATAACAAGGTGAAGGAGGATGCCCTGAAGCACGCCAAGAAGCTGCAAGCACAAGTCAAGGATGCGCTTCGTGACGCCGAGGAGGCCAAGGCGGCCAAGGAGGAGCTGCAGGCGCAGAGCAAGGAGGCCGAGCGCAAGGTCAAGGCCTTGGAGGCAGAAGTATTACAGCTGACCGAGGATTTGGCCAGCTCGGAGCGGGCCCGACGGGCGGCCGAAACGGAGCGCGACGAGCTTGCCGAGGAGATTGCCAACAGTTCCAGCAAGGGATCGCTGATGGTCGACGAGAAGCGGCGACTGGAGGCCCGCATTGCCACACTCGAGGAGGAGCTGGAGGAGGAGCAGTCCAATTCGGAGGTTCTGCTCGACCGCAGCCGCAAGGCGCAGCTGCAGATCGAGCAGCTGACCACCGAGCTAGCCAACGAGAAGTCCAACTCGCAGAAGAACGAGAATGGACGCGCCCTGCTCGAGCGCCAGAACAAGGAGCTGAAGGCCAAGCTGGCCGAGATTGAGACGGCACAACGTACCAAGGTGAAGGCCACCATCGCCACGCTCGAGGCCAAAATCGCCAATCTGGAGGAGCAGCTGGAGAACGAGGGCAAGGAGCGACTTCTGCAGCAGAAGGCCAACCGCAAGATGGACAAGAAGATCAAGGAGCTGACGATGAACATCGAAGACGAGCGGAGACATGTCGACCAGCACAAGGAGCAAATGGATAAGGTAAGCAACCCGACCCTTCCTGACTCTGGGGCGGTAATACTAAAGGATTCGTTTTGCTCCCACAGCTGAATAGCCGCATCAAATTGCTCAAGCGCAATCTGGACGAGACGGAGGAGGAACTGCAGAAGGAGAAGACACAGAAGCGCAAGTACCAGCGCGAGTGCGAGGATATGATTGAATCGCAGGAGGCCATGAACCGTGAGATCAACTCACTCAAAACTAAACTACGGTAGGTGCAGATCCCTGTTCGATCAAGGGTTTTGTGACGGAAGGGGGAAGTCTCTAGCGCTATGTCTCTCTTTCGCTCTCTTCCGGGATTCAGATTCTTCCTATATTGTTTTGACATTTTATTGTTTTGGTTTAAGCTCCATCCAAGTGGCCGAGACCGAAAAGGCCAAGGCCTATTCGCCCAAAAAGGATGCCGCACTCATTATGAATTGTGAGGGTCTGCATTAGGTTTCGAATCGTTTCGCTTCTTTCTCGTAGGCGCTGTAAGTGCTGCTGGCCAAGATCCATAGTCAGATCCTCAGACCCAGACCCAGACCCAGACCCAGTGAATGTGAACCAGAAACCACTCCAAACTAAAGAAAACCTAGCAACCACACCTCTGTGTACTTCTCTCTGCATGTTAGGAACACACCGTCCAGCAAAATCATCCAACAGTGCGAACTAATGCCGTTCAAACTCCTATTTTAAATAGAACTTAGTTCGTGCAACTCCAACCTCTGTTCTGTTATTTTTGTATTCCCCCATGCACTGCACGTCTACCCAGAACCATCCTATACTATATATTGTAAACTCTGATACTAATCCTGCAACTTGTATGTCTCCCTTTCCTTTAGACGCACCGGCGGCATGGGCCTCAGCTCCAGCCGGCTCACGGGCACACCTTCATCGAAGCGCGGAGGAGGCGGTGGTGGGGGCGGCGGCGGCGGTGACGACAGCTCATCGGTGCAGGATGAATCATTAGATGGCGAGGATTCGGGCAATTGACGCGTTAATTATTAGGTCAAGATCGAGAATAGGACGGAGAAGAGGAAGAGATGAAGAAGAGAAGAGCAAAATAAACGATTATATTTAATGTTTCTTTTATATAATTTCTCTGTTATTTTTTATATAAACTATTATACATACTTAAATTAAAAACGTAAACCAACAAAACCAACATTTTATAACGACAAAAAACATAAACAATGAAACAAAAAAAAGAAAAAACAAAAATAATGTTGTCAAACACTCCAATTTCCCCCAATTTAAATTTATATAAAACAACCATAAACACATAAGAAACTTTCCCCACATCCCTCGATTGGCTGCCGATCGGAGCAAGCATCGAAATAAAAACGAAAATTATACAACTCAAAAACAACCGAAGCCCAGAAACTTATTAACTTCCTTCAGCATATCTTCAGGATACACTCACTTCCACGTTGCAATCAATCTTTAAATACATACATAAATACCTAACATAGAACAGCCCATAGCATAGCAATACGATGCAATATGTAATTCATGCATTTAACAACTAAAACGGTTCTCAAAATGGAAACAAATCCGAACAGAGCTGAGTAAAAACAAAAGATAATCGGAAAGAAAATGTTGAACAAGCAACTAATGTACGAATTTAATTTCGTTTTTGTTTAGAACTAAACAATAAAATTTGCTATATTATATACATAAAATGATTTTGTACTGTTTGGCCGTTAGGCTGCTCTGGATTGAGGAATAGGAAATACAGAGATCAGTGTATAATTTCTAGAGTTATTCATGATCGCGGCATGTATTCTGGTTCTCTTCAAAATTGGGGTAGTTTGACCGTAATTTAAATTGAAATTTGTGCTTTTTAGTGTGACCATCTTTTCCAATTGTTATCGATACCATCGAAATTCGATTTTCTACCATTAAAATACCAAATATCATTAAATTAATCGGAGGGAATTTAAAAAACAGTACATACTGAACTTCTGATTTCTTTCCTGCAAGCGTGGATTTAGAAATAATAATATGCCATATTATTTAAGAAAATACAGAGTATACATAAATGAGAATATAAGTTTATTAACATTTTTACATATATACAAACTGATGGCTACATACTACAGTACAGGTAACTGGCTGACTAAGGTGTACGTTTAATCCTAGAAAAATTCGAAAATCTCATAAAAGTCTGGATAATTTTCCCCGTCCCCGCCCATGACTAACTAACTAACTATCTAACTAATGGCACTGCTTGGTCACCTGGTCTACGCTGCTCGATGATCATCCACTTCGATGTGTGGAGCAGAAGGGCCACAGGAGACTGGTATGTTTAAGTGCTGCACCATCACTATGCCACCGTTCAGCGCCTCGAGCTCAGCGGAGGACTTGCTCTCCTGGAGGTGCTCCTCTCGCTTGCTGTTAAGGTAGTAGACCCCGGCCACAATCAGGCTGAAGGAGGTCACGGAGATGAGGAGCGTACCATACTTGAGAGACTGCTGGATGGCGTCAAGGTAGAAGGTGCTCACGTACAGCATGTGCAGTATCTCCTCCGAAAAGTCACCCGAAGTGATCTCGATCCACATCAGTGGCAAGATGGTACCGTTCTCCAGACGATCCCCCTGATCTGAAATTGCCAAAAATTATCAATAAAATTAAAATAATTAAATTAACCTTTTTGGTTGGATGGAGATCCCTCGATCACTTACTCTTCAGTAGAGGGGTCTTGTCCAGCATAATGTTGATCTGGACACGCGAAGCTCCGCTGATGGGGAAACCAAAGCGCGGATGAATGTCGGCGTAGGTCTGATGGAGCTCCGCATCGGGTTTGATGCCATCGAAGATCTTGTACAGGACCGGATCGCCGGAGAAGAAGTGCGGGAAGGAGGGAAAGATGGGCGAGTCCCCGTAGCACTTGGTGGCATTGATCACTCCGCTGGGCAGGCAGCGTTCCGTGTTGTGGCAATAGCACTGATTCGCCGGGTTCTCGGACGGATGGTCAAACACATCCATGGGCGTCCGGTAGCGCAGCACATCGATGTCGTCGTAGATGGTCACCTCCTTCTCAAAGTTGAGGGGCACCTTGCGACACAACACTTGCAGGAAGACGTGAACCGTATCGCGAGTCTGCAGGAGATTCGGGGAGAACATGGAGGGGTCCACACCATCGATTCGATTGCATTCCTCCCCCTCCCAGTAGTCCAGCTGGGGCATGCCATTGAATTGGGTGATGGTGCTGTACTTGGTGATATCGTCCTCGCCGGTGTTCACCTGAATCGAGTCCACGCTGGTTCCATTTCGCTGAAGGAAAATAATACTATTGGGCCAAAGATCTTGGCAAAGGATCGACAAACACTTACGCTCATCAGCAGGCCGAAACGTCTCTTGCCCTTGCCCAGGCTCTTCAGTTTGATGATCTTGTCCTCGTATCCCCAAAGGTACTCTGCAGCCGTAAGGTTCTTGAACAGGGGTTCGTTGAACGTGTTGATTAACATGCCTGAAATGAGGCGCGTGGCGTAAGGCATACGCTTCACGTGACCGGCGGCACTGATCAGCGGCACATTTGGTACCAGCAGCACATCATCCTCCCGGATGGCCGACTTCTCTGGCAGAAACTTGTACGACTTGCGATCCTGCATAGCAATTATAAAAAAGGAGGAAAATTAGTAAGCCCTGCTTTGGTTTTTAAGTCGGCGAGTGACGCCTACCCTGAAGGTGACCGTGAAATTCTTGTTGAACGAGACCTCGTCCTTGACCGTGTGCTCTTGGTAGACTAGCGGGCCCATATCGCGAATCTGTATCTTATCGGCCCGCCCGGCCAGATAATCCTCGATGTTGGGGTAGTGGAAGATGTGCGCCTTCAGCAGCGTATCGTACTTGGGGTCAGGGTTGAGCCAACTCTTGGCCGTGTCCGAGTTCTCGGCCAGTACCAGATTCTATGGTGGGGTTTTGGGTAGATTCAAGAATTTTCGCAAGCCAATTCTGCCAGTGGGCAGCATCTTACCTCTAGCATGGTGTTGTTGTAGAACTCGGTGAACCACATCACAAAGAATCCAGTCACACTGATCACGAACAGCAGGAACATCACCCCCAGCACTGCAAAGTGGGTCAGGTTAGTCAGGGATACGAGTATCATCCCATCAACCGTGCTCTACTTACTTATCAGTGTGCCAATATCCTTGGACGTTGGCTCGCGGTTTTGTGTGTGATTGCGCAGCCCGAAGGCCTCCAATATCATCTGGAGTATCGTTGGTTTGTCGGGCCCACTCTTCCCGCTGCTGTAGGCTCCCCCGAAGGTTCCAGTTCCTCCAGCACCGACCCCATTCCGCTGAGAGTTCAATGTGTTGGACTTGGATCTGCTGAGATCATCTTGAGTTGGTGGCAAGGCCACATCAAGGTTTGTTGTACGTGGCATTCTGTGTGTATGTGTGAGGGGGGGGCGGCGGACTTTTCAAATGGAGCTTCGATGGAGCTGAAAGTGGAGTTAACAAATGTTATGCTGTCCTCTTATCACAGAGATCGCAGTATAGTATGTTGTTGCTAGCCAGGAGCCTGTAAGCTAATAGATTATGATTCCCATGAATTCCGATGCCATTCTACTATCAGTACTAAAGTTTCCATAAAAGCTGCTCCTTGAATTACAGATATCTCGGCACTTGAAACTGATTCTTGTCCGCTGATATTAATAATATGTATAATTTGATGTTATCTTTGGGATTGGGAACACGTGGCCCAGCAAAGGGATCTATCTGCCTGGGCTGATTATAATTATGGGCTTATCAGGCACTCTCTTCTATATATAAACTTGTAGAGAATCCAAGAGTTCATCGAACACATAAGTATACAACGATTGTACAACAAGTTCGCGAGTGTTAAGTTAAGTTTTCCTCCATTGATGGAAATCAAATTCATTAATACCTTTTATAGGGTTATATGTAATTGTATTTGTATATGGGTGTTCGTTTCCGTGTGCGTGGTTTAATCGGAACTATTTTCCGTGGAGCTAAGATTATTAACCATGCGATCGTTTACAGAATTTTTCACCAACTAATCTGGGTTTCAGCTCTCAGAGCCTCCGCATGCTGGGCTCAGCTGCGACTTCTGCCCGTGCTGAAATCAAAGTACAACCCATATGTATGTGCTAGGCCTTATCAGTAGCTCCTACGAATATATAATACTGATACTTTTATATACTATAGCTGGCAAATCATAAAATAAAATTATGGAAACAACAATCAAGGAGGTATCAGTTTGAGTGACTGTGTGGTGTGTCTGTATGCCATAGAGTTAAGCTCTAGAAATTACCAATTCTGGGGGGTACTTGTACGCTAGCTTTGAAAACGGGTCAACGCCACGGAATAAGCCTCAACCTGGGCGTCAAATTTTCCAATATTTTCAGCACGAGCATGAACTTTTATGAATGTGAACGAACTGGCGGAGATAATGGATCAATGGGTTTCAATGGGGTTGTTGATAGCTAAAATGATCTGGAACTGCTGTGACCGCAAATTGATTTGATTTCGAATTTTGATAAGACTGGCTCTGAGCAGCATGAAATTGCGCCTTAGACTACCCCCCAAACATTATGAATTCAATATTGTGTTTGAAAAAAAATGTTTTTGGATTCAAATTTGCTCTTGAGACCTACGCTTAGAGGACGGCAATCTGTCGTCTGGTTGGTCTGTTTCTCCTATTTATATGTGTGGGACGCGTCGCGGCGAAGGTTGGTTGTCTTCACCGCTCCTCTCCGTTTTTGTCTGCTTCTCTCCTGTCTGCTTGTTCCCAATTAGTTGCAGAAAACTGAGCTGGTGCAGGCAGTTCAGTTGACTGATAACGGCTTGGAGATGCGGGTGCCAAGCGAACCAACAAGAGAGTGGGTGAGTGAGCGGAGAGAGATCGTGCGCGAAGACAGCTGTTCAGGTGAACGAAATGGAAACGGAACACAACACACTCACACAAACGCAAGGTAATTGCACCCGCACTTCTCTCTCTCTCTCTCTCTCTCTCTCTCTCACAGTGCGCGTTCTCTCTCTGTGGTTTACTTTGCCTCCCGCCACTCGCCTCTGCACTTTCGACGACTGCCAAACATTTGGCGTCTTAATTAACAATTTTGTCGTATTTACGCTGTGTGCACACCATTCGTATTGAGCTTTTTTGGGGGGTTTTCCTGTCGCTCTCTGCCTCTCTTAACGATGTGGATGCTGGGACTGCTCCGCGGGATCTGTCGCTGTCTCTGTCACTGTATCTGGATCTGTATCTTGCAGCCACACACTTGCACGAGTATCTCTATGAGAAAGAACTCTTGTCGCTCTCCTCTCTCCTCTCTGACCGACACTGTGTTCTCTGTTTTTCTTGGCTTGTGTTCTTTGTTCGCCTGCTTCTTTGTTTTGTCGTTATTCTCTTTTGTCAGCTCGATCGTTGGGGCCAGTTCCTGCCTCGATTTACAAAAAAACAGTGGAGCTGTAACTGCAGCTGGAGCTGGTTTTCCATATGGAATACACTCTTCAATCCTTCTTCCTTCTCCCTTCTTCACTCTGCCACTGCCACTGGCATTGCCTCTTCTGCTTCTTCTTGCTCGTCGTCTTCCACTGCACTGCACTTGGAATCGATTCCGTTTCTGGTTTGTCTTAGCTGTCCCAACAACTGCAACGGTACGACCGAACAACAGGGAAGGAAACACAACGGCAAACACTACATATTTGGACCAGCCGTTGGCTTGATAATATCTTTCGGGCGTTTTGCCCCCGAATTGGCACTGGATCAACCACTTGTCCGTTGGGTATGGTATTTATGGCGGATTCCGCGATTAGAGCCCACGCACTATCTGGCCGAGAGAGACCGGGACCTCTAGAACCGATTAGATTTCGCTTTCTGGGGGTTCTGGGGCTGTTTGTAACCCGACTGCGGGTTTCCATAGACTCTGAAAAACACTGGGACTGGACACGGGGACTGACTGTGGTGCGTGCTGCTGCCCACCAAACAAGTTATTACTACGACGGATCGGCTCCGCTCCGTTCGGAATCAACAGCTGGGCCTTCGTTGTGTTTCGTTCTCTTTCCTCGTTCTACGATCTTGCTTTCGGTGTCGCCGTCGCTGCCGCAGCCGCTGTCTCTGCTGCAGCTCTGTTTCTGATAAGCGAGTGGTCAGCAATGATTGCTGATAGCTGCAAGGCGCCGACAGCGCTGCCAGCGTTTTACGTATCGGGATTGCTTGCTTACTACGTAGCAGCCAATGTGCGTGTGCCAGCTTCTATGCTTGTGTGTGTAATGAGACAAAGTGCAAATTTAATCATCGTTCATACAAAGGAACCAAAATGATACCCACAAGCACACGCACACACACTCTCAGGAAGAAGAGATAGAGAGCAGCATCTGCAGCAGCACCAGCAGCAGCAGCAGCCCCATCCACCATTGCTTTCTCTCCATTCGAGAGAGTAGTGGCTGCTTCATTATTATCGAATTAGATGAACGGCGCGGATCATGCAGAGAGCGAAGAAGAGGGGCGGGGATCCAGAAACGGGCTCCATTGTTTCTGCTCCAATCTGCGATGCACTGAGAGAAAACGGGAAGCGGGAAACAAGTGGAAATGGCACAAGGTGAAAGCAGGAAGAACCTTTTTATAGAACATCTTATATATACAGCAGTCAAATATAGTAAAAAAAAAAGCTAAAGAGTCGTCCGATCAATAATATATGCCTTATAGGTCTATATATAGGAATGTTCAAATGGCCCAATACAATTGTATTGATACATATGTACATATGTATGTATGTACGTACGTATATTCACACGTGCCAAAAAAAAGTAATTAGCACTTAGGCTTTTTATAGCGTATCGCTGAGTTTACCATTTCACTTATAGCTGTAATGGACTTTAACCAGTCAATTAGCGATTGACAAAGAAATGTGCATTCACTATTTCGCTCAGTGCATGGGTGCTCAAGGTGCTACCTCTGTCTTCTTATTCTTATTCTTTTCTTTTCTTTTCGTCTCGTTCTCCTCGGCTTCTGTTGTCGTTTTGCAATTCTTGGAGCATGTGAGGATATATTTAAATTAGCTTATCTTCCAGTCGTATGAATGCTGAGTTCTTAAGCTGGCAGACTTGCCTCAAGCCCGCATCGCTATGACAACGTGATTACTCGCGTAAATACCCCCGGGAGGAGAATCGCGAGTTATTGAACCCCACACGGCCAGAGACCAGGCCCAGGCCCAGGCCCAGGCACAGGCGACGATTGTGTGCTCAGCATTTATCAGTTTAGTCAAGAGTTTACAATTAATCTGTCGTGCTCCCTATAAGGCGCGGGGCTTCCATCGTGTTTTGCATCATTTTCGATTGATAGCCTCTCTGAACTTATTGTTTTTCCAGAAGGCGCGGATGACGCGCATGATATTCCAATGGCTCAATCGTTTACTCGTTCCGTGCTGCTAATAGCTTTCCAATACTGTTCGCCTGCAATGAGTATTGTCTCCGCCCCGATCAGGTCCCAATAGCTAGCTTCAACTTCTATTTTACGGCGGAGTATTTGACTGGAACTGACAACTTAAGTGGCACTAAGTCAGCCGCGCTCTAAGTTACTGTAGTCTGTTTAGGCCCTCACATAAACTACCTTAAAAGCTGTAAAGATGGAGGGCAAAGTCGTTTCCATCACGTTAAATGTAGAGCTGGCGGTGGCCTCGATCGGCTTCCAGTTCCCGCTTCCTGAATGCTCGCTTGTAGGGATCTTATCAGCTCTGACGTAGAAATAAAAGGGAAAGCGGGGGGGCCTTATCAACAACCTGGGTTGCCGGGTCGTCAAGTGCCAAAAAAAGTTCTTACATACACAAATATGTATAAACAAGAATCACACATAAAGAATCTCAAAATTAAATAATACAAGTTCCTCGAAAAGTAGGACACAATCATCGGAGATCCAGAATCTTCAAATCCTTCATCGATACATCGACCAATCTGAGCGAAAATACCCTCAGGGGCTGACGATTGGCCATGCCGACGTTGGTCGACATTCTGTATCGTAAGTGAAAAACCAAATTTGATTCTCTTGCGTCGGCGGGGCAGGGGCTATTGATGACACGCAACAACATTTAAATTTACATATGCGTATGTTGTTGTTGTTGTTGCTTTTGCTGTGCTTTTATTATTATTTATTGCATCACTTACAACAAAACTGCGCCACTTTGTACGACAGTTTACATAAACAGAAAGGTCGCATGCAACCCGGTTGGCCTTATTGGCATGCAAAGTCGTCGTAGAGTTAGGCATTGGATACGGGTCGCCGTCGCCGTCACCGTCACCGTCACCGTCGTCGTCGCCCCGTCCAACAGCACTCTATATCTTTGTGCGTGTGTGTGCGTGTGTGTGCGTGTGTGTGCGTGTGTGTGGTTGGTCTTGGAGTCGGAATGTCAAACACATTGAGGCGATAATGTCTTGGTTCGCCTTCTAACTAAAAAGCCATTGTTATGGGGATTGAGCAATGGTTTTGTCAGGCTTAAACAAAATACATATGTACATATATGAATGCTAGTACACAACTGGATCCTCTTAAGATCATTCCCAACTCTAAAAATTCTATCTGAATATCTGAGAATCACAGAATCTCCCAAGTGTTATTCATTTAACAATCGTCATATCGTCAGAACTTGCCCCTGATTCATCTGAGGTGGAAAAACTCTCCATCGTTTCAGAACGAACGTGCTCGCTGTGAAATTTTCTGCCAGTGGACAATTTCCCGAATCACATTTCCTAGACATGGTCTAAAATGATTTCCCCTCGCTGTTATTGGTTATGCAAATGCAACAAGTTTTTGTCGCGCGGTGTTGTTTCCCCGGCTTGCGCATTTCCCAAAAGCCTGTTTATGCTCAAGCAGGAAAGCTTTTGCAAGATTCCGATTCTGGAGACGGACAAGACAACAACAAACAAAACCAAAAAGCTGGCGCAATGCCCACCGAAACTGCAACATTCAGTGGCAATAACAATAATTTGTGATCGTTGGAGCTGTCAGCTTTAGCATACATTCTGTGGCTTCAACTTGATCTGTCTTCGTTATTGTGGCTTCTGATGTTTGGTGTTTGGCAACCACTGGCACAAACCATAATAACAACAACAACAATCACGATAGAAGTGAGTCATTTGCAACAACAACAAAATATCATAATCGTTTAGTGCTGCCAGTGGTATTGGTGTGGCAATCAATGGGATTGTGTCTCTGTGTGTGTGCAACATAAAACGGAACGGAACGCAACCAAAACGAAAGACTTCAATGCAAAAGCAACAAACTTGTTTTTTATCAGTCGCCGCCACCCATTCCATTCCTCAAAAGCAGCAGAAAGAGAGAGAAGAGAAGAAAATCGAGGGAGCGACAGCAGAAACAGGCAACATTTATTTCGAACCGATCGAAGACTATTCGAATATCCGAAAGCTTTTATCGCATACAGTGCATTGAGCAAAAGCTCAAGTCATGCACCACACACAGCCACACAGAGCCACACACAGAGCGCGCTTGCTTACTCTCGCTTTTGCTAGTGCCTCTCCTCTTGAGCACACACCTTCATACACACATACGCACACAGGTGTACCTGTTTATCTGGTTTTCGAGTTTCGCTTTGTCGCAATGCCAAGCCGAGCTTCAGGTGGAAGCTTTCGCCGCCCCAACATCTTACGTTGTGGGGCCACTCGAAGACATCGACATCAGTTTCTCGGCGGCTTTACGAGCGTACAAGTCGTGAACGTTTTTTTCCGGCAGTTTGGTGTTACGTTCCACATTTTGTGGCCCCCCGTAAGAATCTATCTATCCCCAAAACAGCGCGTACGTACTAAACTTGCATCCGTGTAAACGGCCAATTTCGACTCCGATTCCGGCTCCCGTGTGAGTGCCTGTCTGTGTGTTAATGTAACTATTTTGAAATGCCTGCGGATTGCGACTTGCGGCTTGTGGCCTGTCCCCTCCCTTCCCCTCAGGCTGGACAGGTCTGCGTCTGCCTCTCTGGTGTGTCTTTCACAAAAGCCAGCAGCAACAGCAGCAACAAGTGTGTGGTGTGTTGTTTGTGGCATGGTATGGTGTGGTGTGGTGTGGCAGTAGCACTCACATTCCAGGCCTTTTGCGGCAGTAAAAGTCCATTTGTTGTTGCTGCTTACTGCATCGATCATTGATAAACCTTATAGATGTTGTCGGGTCTGTCTCGTCGCAGTCGCAGTCTCAGCATTGAGCAAGACCTTGCCCACTCAGCCAAAATGAAACCATTTCCATGGTGGCTCGATGGCTTGGCTGGGCGCTTAATAGCTCTACAAAAGCGGAAAATCATTGAATTATGCTTTGTGGCTGCTGCTGCTGCGCTGCTGCTGATGCTGCTGCTGATGACGCCTCTTTCCCCCTGGAGCCAGCGGCAGCAGCTAAATGCTGTCTACGGCCCTGCCAAAAGCGCATTTTACGAACGTGCATAGTTTTTATGATTACTTGTGTGGAAAAAGTGAAATTTTCGCTCTGCACAGCGCGCTGATTGGCGCTGCCACGAAGCAGCGACTCAAAACGAAATCAAATAAAAAAGTTTACCCAAAAAACACCACACATACTCCATACTCGTCCAAGATCCAAAATCAAAATTCAAAAATCAAAATGAAGCGTGTGTCCAGGTCAGAAAACCCCACAGAAATCAAATAAAACTAAATAAATGCATAAATAAGTGAAGAGGGCCCGCGAAAGCTCTCTTTTTGACCACATAACCATCATGACGATTATGTGAAGGTTGCACCAGAAGCGGCCAGCAGCAGCACCAACAGTCCGGAGTAAAAGCTTTGAATCATCATCATCTTCATCATACGTATACGACTACGAGTATACTATGTTATCTTGTGGCACTCTGTTGCTGAAGTTTCTGCTGAAGTTGTTGCTTGATTTCGTTGCCAAGTTGGTCATAAAATTGAGGTGACAATTGCCAGGCTTTGTCTTTGTCTTCGCTTTTGCCCGTTGCCCGTTGCCCGTTGAC